CGTGACCCACTGCCTGTCTCAAAGGACTTTCTCAGACTCATTTCTTTGAGTGAGAGAAAGATGAGAAAGACTGAGAGATCAAGAGGAATAGAAAGTGAACAGAGTGAGGACCAAGGAAGGAGAGAATGAGAGACGGAGATAGACAACTCACCTCGTACCAGATATTGACATCCATATCGAGCGGATTAGCACCTGTTGCGCCTGTACCGTTATACTTGAGCTGCGTTGCTCCTCGAGCATCACCATCGCCTCCCATAGCCATGACGCCGGTTCTGACTTGGGAGGAGTGATATAGAAATAGGAATCCCAACGTCGATAAAGAGGGATGATGTGACAAGGTCAAGAAGGTTGCACTGCGTGACAGCGGAAGTGATAGTGACATTCTGGGCCAACAGTAAAGTAGGAAGAAGGGAGGAAGAGACTCGAAAGATAAGAGATCCAGGCAGGGGGTGCAATTGGTGTTGAGAGTGTGCACGGCTGAGATTGAGAATGTGAGAGAAAAAGGGCGCGATTCCGGTTCAGGCGGGACAGAGATAAGAGATCCCTGGACGCGAGCTTGGCTGTGCAACCCCTGGGACGACGTAATATACCGAGTTAGACTGTTGGAGTATCTGGGCTGACTCCGTGGGCTTTTGGTTAAGAGGGAAAATATGGAGGAGACGACGACGACGCGAAAAGGGTCTCGAGACTACCGGTACCGCCGTGACGTTTTTTTCGGGGCGAGGCAATTCGACTCTGAGCTAGAGTGGGAGGTGACGAAATAGATTGAGTAGTCACATATATCAATCTGGCGGCTCGAGACTGAATTATTCTGTCAACTACCGTACAGTGGGGGTCACCCCAGACCAGGCGATCCAATACAGCGGGCGCTTGTCGACTTGCGGAAGAGTTATCCTTAGTTAAGCCTCGCCACTCACTTGTCACTCTCGCACTACCTATCTTCATCGCCAGCCTTCGTCTCAACTGTATTCTGAATGAGCATCCAGATGAACTGCCCGCAGACAGAGGCATCAAATATGACTACGGGCGCACTTCCACTGCAACTCAATTCTTAAGCTCACTTAGAGTTCCCCCTTATACTCAGTCCCCTTCTGTAGCCCTTCCAATCCTCTTCGACCACGGCATGCCGCCTTGTGAGGAATTCATCGCAAATTTATCCAGTTCTAGCCCTGACAAGGCTTCGATATACAGGAACACACATCAGTCCTCTATTACAGTGGCATCAGACTTCTCTCGCTGCTATGGTATCTCGCTTCACTTTGCCAAAAAAAATTCATGTAAAACGCACGACAAATGGCAAAGAATGCCTATATCAGTCGCTATAAAACCCCAGATCTTCCTTCTGATAAGGCATCCCCAGACCCCAGCCTGCCCCTGACTGCCTACATGTAATGTTGATCTATTTGCCTCTGGATCCCTCCGGATATGCAGATTGATGCACTACAAGGAAGTTATGAATAACTCTACACTCAGTGTTATCTCCCTGTCTCCTCACCACTGCCCACTCACCCAGTGTATAAACGACAGGTCCTCTCCCTTAAAACAAAAAGCAAAGAAATCGTCCGCTTGAGTCAACCCGTCGCACATGACGAAACTTCCTCTCAGCCACTGAGCTGAAGCTCACCCTTGGTCTCTGATAAGCACTTACACCTTGATTGGTCCGCCCAAGGTGTGGGGGTCTCATCTTGGACGCCCAGCTTCAACAGACCTCCGGTGAGCGAACACAGACGTCAAAGCTCAAGAGCTCGTCGTGTCACATCTCGAGTCTGTCAACAGTCTTTGGAAGGTGGCTTGAATCATGATGCTCACGTTTCTTATTGTTATGTGATATTTGATATGTCTCGTTTCATCATCATGCTTCGCCTTTTAGTTCAGTCTTTTGGCCACGAGCCTCCGCCAAGTGTGAATCCTCATACGCATCTCCTCGGGGTTTTTAAGACGAGATAAAGCATAGTAACCTGAATGGGATTGTAATATACAAATTATGATATCTGACACTGCACTGCCCCTAAGAAGATGATATTGACTTGTCAAGAATCAGCAGCACTTGGAGATTCTGGGTGAGTTGAAACTCAGCAAGATATTGATAATGAGAATAATATTAGTAAAATCTAAAATTGAGGCTGTTGGATCTTATCATAGGTCATAATCATGCTGTAGAACTCTCATTACTTGCCCCTGTTCACATGCAAAGAGCTGTTTGAGCCCGAATCGTAGCCAGGTGAGATGCATAGGCACTTATTATGCAGGCCTTGCTGCGTCACAATTATTGAGACTCTTGGTCAAAAGGCAAAGAACAGCTACTCAAAGAGCTCGCCAGGGTATTCCTAGGACATTCTAGACTTATCTTATTATTATTATTGTTTGTTTTGTGTCATTCTGATTGTCTGAGAGCTTCTACCTTTCCCCAGGCCGTCGAAAGATATCACAACAACAATGGCGTCTCTCTCGAGCCTCGAGTTGAGTGGCCTGTCTTTACCAATAACGTGTGGCTTCGGATACGGCGTTTTATTTCAGTCAGTGCGTTTACACGGCAGTCATGCCTAATCACGGACATTCAGGTATTAGAGCATGTACCTACCTATCAGTTCCTATTCTGCTAAATCTGTGCAGGACAGAGCTTTATACGCTGTATACAGACTAGCTAGGTATTTGTTACAAGACCACACTTCTTGATTACTCGTAGTTCTGATCGCTTTCGATGTTTCCACTTGCTGTTCCAACCATGTCGCCGTTTCTTAGTAGACTCTTAGCATCCTCGCAAGTAGGACCATCCCCTGTCTGCATTGACTCAATAGGTTTCGCCGTGTCAATGAAGGTATCTCCCTTATGCTGCTTCAAAAACAGGGCCTGCCATGGGGCCGTCCGAATCACAGTAAAAAGAAGCCAGGTGACTACCATGACAAAGATCTTATGCGCAACCCTCGTGTACTAAAGAGGTCTTTCCATAAGCTCCAGTCTCTTTTTATACCATTCTGGACGGACTCTGGAAGCAATAGCGTACAGTACCTGCTTCTTCATTAGTTTATTCTACTCTCAGAACGTCTCAGAAACCTACAGTCTCGGCAACATCAATGAGTGGCACCAGTAACCAAACACGAATGAAAATATCGAGACCACTGAGGCTATCAGCGAACCAGATACCAGGCCACCAAGGCCAATACTGCAGCTTTGTATAAAGGGAACACTCCACAAGGATTCCCATGACTAACAAGCCACAAACTCCCATCAATGTCGACATCCAAGGACCAGGTCCTTCGCTGCATAATACACAACAGTAGGAGAACATCCCCAGGCCAGACACTTCGACGTCCCAGCGCTAAAAACGGCTCATTAGCAAACAAGCGAGGCTGAACGGCATCAAAACTACTCACATTCTGTCTGATTGGTTCCAGATTGCCCATGACTAGAAAGCTCACGAGTACTCGACCAACTGACTGGAGGTGGTCGTTCCCAACACACTCGCCAAACCCAATGAGAGGCTCTGGATGAGTGAACAAAATCCCTAGAGACATAAAATACAGAACATCAAGGTACTTCCAAGCCAAGTTGAAGAATGGCTGCTGGGTGGCAGTGTATCGACCAGTGGATTTCTTCCGGGGTCGCTGTGCCGCCGCTATGTTCTGAAGAGCTCCATTCCCGTTCGACAGCTTCGCATCCCCATTTTGGGCTGACTCCTTCTGAAAATGAACTGCTCGAGGCTTGCCATTGACACCTTTGACACCTTTTGCTGGTTTCTTCCGGCCCTTTTTGGGCTTTGTTCCTTTCGCATCGCCGTTTCTGGATTCAGGTTCTTTCGTGATGCTATTCTCCTCGACGGGCTTTTCGAGATCAGCCGCCTCGATAAGACCACTGCACTTGGTCACGCCAACTTCTACTTCTCGGTCAAATTCTTGGAGTCCGCCTAACACAGGGCGTGCAACAAAATACATGGAGAGGCATGCAGTCGCGAATTCGACCTCGTCAATAGAGCCCATGAAGAGTCCATTGCCGAAGAGGAGCTTCCGGAGGCTGGTAAGAGGAACTGTCAAGAGTGACAAGACCCAGTAAAGGGCGTGGTGTTTGAACGAAATCATTGCCTTCAGTCAAGCTTGACAATATTTACGACTCGGGTATCGGGGTCAAAGGATAGTGAAGATGCTTTGGCCTGAAGTGTGATGGTATACATAATACAACAAGTTGAGAGAGATGAATCTTGTTGGAAATCGTTATCCTGCAGGGCCCGAATGTGTTGAATAATTTAGCAATGCATGTGGCAAGCAGCTTCCTACCTCAGTCAGTTTACGAATGGGCTCAACAGCAATCGCGACCACGATGACATAGAGCGACTTCCAATCACGTTGGGAGACAAAGTCCTATGGTAGCTCTAACAGAAATTGTCCCGACCACAGAATCAACGTAAAGGAGCAAACACCAAAACTCGAGAGCGTGAAGTTTTCTACACTGAATTCACACAAAGACATATTGAACAGGATGCATAAACGCAAGACAATCCTTCCGTCACATATTTGATGTACTTGAATATGCATTATAATTAAACTCCGTTGATATACAAGGGTCAATTTGGTCGGCTGGTACCAATTCCAATATCTTACAATCCAACAGGTGCAAGCACCCCCGACAAACTCATAGTCAAACGAGAATACAAACATTATATATAAGGTACTCAAGAACACACATCCTTTGCGGTCTGTGTTCGATGCAAAACAAGCACCAACTATCCAACACAAATGTTTCCCCAGTGCTCCTTTTCCAATGCACACGTAATGTGAGCGCGACGATACGTACCCAATAGAGTACTCCCAAGACTATTCAAAGTCTGTGTAGAATGCGTGTCCAGGTCTTTGTTTCCTGGTCGCTGAGAATCATTCCCAAATAATGATGATGGTGAAATCAGATAACTCCGCCTCGCTAAATGCAACATGGGCACCAACCGTGAAAGGTGCTCCCATCATGATACTCCAACCCATGTGGTCTTAATTATTCGCATTCCTTCTCTTTCAGGCGCTGCCACTAAGCGTCTTAAACCTATCCTCGAAGGATTTCATCTGCTCCTGCTCCAGAAGCTTCTGCAGGCGTCGGGTCTCGCGGACTGCGGCCTCTCGCTCATCTTGGAGGTTGAGCACCTCGATCTGAGCAGTGCTCATCCTAGCCACGACGTCCTGCATCTCCTGCTCGGCATCCTCGAGTGCCTTCTCCAACTCAGTAATGCGGTTGCGAAGCACCTCCATCTGAGCGGCGTCCTCAAAAGACTTCTCGGGCAAACGAGGGGATCGTAGAGCGCCGGGGAATCGTGGTGATAGGGGGCTGAGGAGCGAAGGCTTGCGGTTAGCCTGAAAGTTGGGTGAGCGGGGGCCGCTGAGTCCGGTGTTGTTGCTCATCCGCTGGAGCTGGGCATTATGCGCCTCGCGAATAGCAGCAATCTCCTCCTCGTGACGGTTGACACGATCTTCAGATGCTGACTGAGCAGCGATCAGCTGCTCCTCCATAGACTTGAGGCGGACTTGCAGGTCAGCGATCCGATCCGAGTTAGCCTTGCGATCGTTGTCGCCTCGCACGACAGCGTTAGAGAGACGCTCTCGGAGCTGGGCATTTGCAGCTAGTTGTTGTTGAACCTGGGTTGCGAGCTCTCCAACCCGACGAGCAGAGTCATTAAGCTCGTCAGCAAGAGCGCGCTCGCTTTCGATTGTCTTGACCTCATATTCGCTCATTGTATCATACTGATTTTTTAGATTCTCAACTTCGTGTTGGGCGGCATCGCGTTCAGAAACTGCAATGGACAGAGTGCGCTCTAATCGCTCGACAGCAAGCTGAGTCTTCTCATCACCAACTGTCTCATGCTCGAGCTGCTTGATTCTCTCGAGTGATTCAGCATAGGCAGCCTTGAGCTCATTGTAAGCCTTGGCAAGCGACTCAGATGTAACTGGCGCACTCAGGTTACCAAAGGAGCTGCTTGCATTACTGGAGCCACTTGAGCGTGCGAAAGATTCGGGAATAAGGATGTCCTTTTCCTCGAGCAGGTTGCGAAGCAAGGAAATTTCCTCTTCAGCCTTATCCAAATCCATCTTCAGTCCGCCAAGGCCGCTTTCAACCTGCCACTTCTGCTCAAGCGCATCTTCAGCTCGGCGACGAAGAACATTGATCTCTGTGCGCAAGTTTGAGATTTCTCTTTCAAATCCAGCCTTCCTTGGGGATGCTGAGAGTAGCCTCTCTCGTTCGTTCTGTAGCATCCTGATTTTCTTTTCGTTCTCGCGGTTCTGAAACTCTTGGCGGTCAAGTAGATTTTTCAGTGCTTTGTGTAGGGCGTCTCTTTGGGCCTCGACATCTTTTAGGCGCTCAGAAAGGGCCTCTCTGGACTCGTTCTGTACGTTCTTAACACTGTTAGACCGTGATAGGCCAGAGGGTCGTTGGCCACGGAACGAGCCTGTCGCAACCGAGTTTGATCGGGCAAGGCCGCCACCGAAACCGCCAGACATAGCGCGAGACATGCGGTTCATTGAAGGCGTCGGAGACCCGGACCTCGACGAGCCTCGCAAGTTGTCGTATTCTTTCCTGAGCATATGAAGCTCTTGCTGCATTTTGGAGGACTCATAGGTCAAGTTTGAATATTCAGCAGCCTCTATCTCGAGGCCCTCGACACGCGCCCTGAGCTGAGGGACGACTTCGTCTCGAAGGTTATCTCGCTCACTGGTCGCTTCGTGGAGCTCTCCCCTGATGGCGTTGATGAGGTCCTCAAAGTTGTTCTTGACAACACGCTCCTCAGATAGTCGCCTCCTGAGATCGCCACAAGTAGTTTCGAGATCCTTGAGTCGACCACTGGCATCTTGGTTGTTTAATTGCGCCTGGTCGATTTGCGAAGCCTTTTCGGCAAGCTCTTTGATCTGGTGGTCGAGCGCTTTTCGTTTCCCCCTTTCATCCTGGAGCTTATTCGTGAGCTCTAATCTTATGGAAGCCTTCTCTTGTTCGGCCCTCCTTTGAATTTTCTCAAGTTCCTCTCGACTCGGCTCGGCTTCACTCATCTTTGCCGAACTATAACCCGAGTCGGAGTAATAATCGCTTGACCTCTTACCAGGAGCTTGAGGGTTGTTGACTTGTTCCTGGAGTCGATCTACTAGGTCTTCCAGATCCATCTCGCGCCGGATTGAGCTTGCCAGCTCGGCACTAATGGCCTTCAATTCATCTTCCATTTCGTCGATTTGCGCGTAAGTAGGGGACTGTAAAACCGATGAGTATGAGTTACGAGAGCTCGAGATATCCGTCACGCTTGAAGAATTTTCGTGAATATAGTAAGGGTTGCTAACCGTAGAATAGGGGGTATCATTGGCCACGCCGCGTTTCGAGGGGGAGATTGGCGATGATGTGGACGAGAATTCCGTCGCAGAGGGAGATGGCGATGGTGCTGCCCAGTGGAACAGAGAAGCAAATGGCGAATTCTGGCTCGGCGACTTGGGTAATGGCTTGTTTAGCTGTGGTGTTCCTTGACCTGAGGGGGAGTTTGGTTCATCCGGTGATGTGTCGTAGTTCGCAACGTCAATTGTGACCTTGTCGAGTTTGAGATGTGGTGGCGTTGGCTTTGGAACAAACATGGGGGCGGGAGCGAGAGTCTGGTCTGATATAGTATCGTCAGATGCAGGTGATCGAGTTCCTTGAACCTCTGTTTCAGAGCGGTCCGTTGGCTCGGCGGGTTTAGGAACAATGGCAGTTTCTTTGTCGATTGATAAACTCTTTTGGCCCTTGTCGTCGTCGCTATCGCTCCCATCAAGGATGGTCTCAGAGGTAATGTCTGGTGTAGAATCTGATTTCGAGTCTGAGATCAAATCATCATACCCATCCAGGACGTCAGAGAAATCTGAACTTGAGATGGTAGGGCTGTGTCCTGGAATATTTTGGGATCCAGGGGTTGTCGCGGCAAGGGACGCCAGGTTGGCGTCGGGAGCTCTGCCAGAGGAATTCCGGTTAGCCACAAATTCTGTGAGGGAAGTGAGGGGTTGTGCATTTGGATATGCAGGACATGGAAACAAAGGGACAAAGAATTAAGCTGAGAAGAGTACTCACGGGGCAGCTGGTGGTGCGGCGCGTTGCGCAGGAGAGAATTCGTAGAGGGTCGGGCTGTCAACTGAACAAGGTCTCGCGAATCTCTGGCTCGGCTTTCCAAGATTCAGAGGTGACGGCAAGGGAGATCCCGACGCAGAGTATCGCAATGCCAATGCTGATGCCGATGATGAAAGAGGTTTGCGCTTAATTGGACCTCCGATGGGAGACTGGACGGAACTGGAAGGCGACGCAACAGAGCCGGAGACCGAGGACGAGCCGGGTAGAACGTCTACCGTCTGAGATCGAGCGTGTGCGGGAGAGGATTTCGGAGAAGGTGGATGCAGTTCTTTTTCGATTTGAAGCGGGTGGGCTGATGGTGAGGATAGTGGAATAGAGTTATCGGCAGGGACAAAAGAGGTTGTAGCAGACGTTGCAGATGGGACGTCGACAGGAGGCGTCTTGGTATCAGAACGAGTATCAGAAGTCGCAGAAGGCTCCGTTACTCCAGACCCCGGAGGGGAGGCCAGGGCAGATTCCATATTTGGAAGATATACCGGTCCTCGCTACGAGCCACCCAAAGGTACCGTACTATACGGTTCGTGAGGTCCTGGGTAGTAGAACCGCGGCGGTAAGAGAGTGAAGCTGGTGTGTGTGCGCGATAGGAGGTGTGAAGGAGAAGAAGGGAGTGGGGGTGTGTGACGAGTGAGGCGACGACCTATCGACGGCTGACCCAGGGGCCACCAGCAAGCGATAGTGAGGTTCAGGTAGTATAGTACAGTAGTAGCAGCAATACTAATGTCTTATCACCGGAATAAGGCCTCAATCGCCAACGTGTGAGGGAGGAAGAAGTGAAATTTGGCCCCTGGGTTGAAGCGAAGGGAGCAAGAATGGATGGAAAACAAGCCCAGCAACTAAAGAGAGGAGAATTGTGACGATGGCTGGGGGCCATGCACAATAGTCTAAGCTAAGGTCAGGGGTCCGATAATTACAGCTCTATTAGCTTGGCTGGTGAGAGGCCAAAAGGGAGCTAACCCCTGATCCGCAAGCGTGAACTCCCCACAAGGCTTTGTGTTTGGCCAAAAGGTATTGAACTGGTTGGTTTGCTGATCTATTATGCGAGGGGCGAATTGGATCTCGGAAGAGGGACAAGAGGACTGGTGAGGCTTGAAAGCAGAGCTGACCCAGGCCCTTTGATGTGTTTCTTCGCATTGGATCGCGATTAATAAAGATGTGACCAGTCAAAGACCGTTGCGCAAAGAAACACAATCTGTGCCTGAAGAACGTGAGCGGGCTAATCAACCAATTGCAATTAAACGACCAGGGGTTATTTGTGGTGAAGGTGGTGACAAAGCCAGAGATGGTAGAGTACCTGCGCTAGCGCCGTAACCTGGGCGCTACCATGACCAGAAACGTTCAGGGGTACGAAGGTGACGGGCCAGATTCGATTGATTGCGCCGCGCAAAGAGCGGCACGTTCAGACCAATTCGGACCATCCAAACTCTTGGTGATACTACCTTCCAGATATCAACTGTCGATCGCTTTGAATGGACAATCCTTTGTCTCGAAGTGGTGCGGAGTACAGCTTCCACTGACGATATTTCACCCTGCTCAAGTCCCCTATTCTCCATCATATAAACATCATATCACCTACTTGCCTGCCTATTATCTGTTGACTAAGAAAGAACGAGAGCGATCTATCATCGACCAATCTGTGGCCAATGCCTCAGGTAACGGTTGGACAAGGCATGGACAAGGCTAAAACAGGGTTAATAAACATATCTAGAAGTTCAGGGATCATCTGTCCGTGGCCGCGTTCTTTCAAAAGCATTGTTCCACGACAGCGCGTAATTGTGTCACAGTTATATTGTGGTGGCGGTTATCGAAACGTTCTATGATTCTATGCATATGCAAATAGCCGCTTGTCAACGTGTGAAACTCTTTCTTATTTGTTTCCTTTTCTTTTCTTTTTCTTTATGGATAAATTTGTTCAAACTTGCAGGTTCACTCGCTGCTGCAACTGTTCAACAATTCGCTTGTGTAATATCAAAGCAACCTTGATGATTCCCAGTTACTGCTTCAGCTCTACCGTCTCATGGCCCAGGGGTCGTGAGTTACCCCTTGTCTAGCGCTTCACGTGCTCGACAGGGAGTCTAATAAGCTGTTGGACAAAAATAAGAGAAGGCGTCTAGCCCACAGCAAACATCCACGAACCAACGTACGGAGTAGAGAGCCTCCATATCCTCCGTTGGCGTTTATTTTATTTTACGAAAATTACTTCTGCCCCGGTTCGGCGCAGGAAACAAGCGGTGAAGATCGCTGACGTGAACTAAATTCTTGGTCTTTGATCGAGGCAATTGACTCTCGTTCAGTTGATAACCTGTAATAGCATGCCGTAAAGGCACTTGTACATAGTTGCATGAAGTCAACAACTGCAGGGTATTTCCCTGTTGTGATCCCTTATTGAAATGGCATCTTCTTTCTAATAGTCTTTTTATTCTGTGATTGCCGACTGAAACTCTATTGTTCCAATACTCGGCAGTCAACCTGGACAACTAATCGAATGATGTTGAATGTGCACTCTAAGCAGTCCATGGAATATCTTCTTATCATGCTCTTGTCTGGACAGTCTGTAGAATTCGCCAGAAGTTCCTTGAGTCATGATAAGTCCACATGTTGTCTGTTGCATGGACCACTCCATCTCACACTAAGAAGTCTGTCGTGTAGCAGCACAAACCTCTCCAGCCACAAACTGATAGGCACATTCATGCAGTTGTGGTTGCCAGTTGAACTTTGTAACTTCAGACTACCATTATGAACGGAGAGTTTCTTGTTGTCAAACGGTCGTGTCCAGCAAATACAAGGGCAAACTGCCGATCCTGACACTACACCACGAAGCTTCCGCTATCACGCAAGGATACATGGGAAGGTTACCAAAATCGACACCAAATGCAACTACCGACCTTGGTTTGTCTATCAAAACCCTGATGATCATTCTTCCCCCCACTGAGTCGAAATTAGGTGGCGCTCTGAGCCGCTCGTGGTCTAATGTTGATCGATCTGCTAGTCATAGTATCACGCTCCCAATGCGACCTGGAACATTGGAATCGTAGCGGCACTATCTTTACCGTTTCGGCGACTTTAGTTCTGGGGGTCATCACATCGTAATCTCCCATGGGGTATGGGGATAGGCTGCCTCTCTAAGCTCGGTGTCGAGATGATGAGTATAGGGTATGTGTACTGCTCCATAGCCAAGCCCGTTCATGACAGTCTTGAAATTACCTACGTAGCAAGCCACCAATTACCCTATATGCAGTGTTCGTTTAACAATTGGCTGCCCCGTCTAGATATTGAGTCTAGCCTTGGGTTGTAGGCCTTTGGTAGATTCTTATGTCTCATATGGTGAAGCATGTCGGCCTCTTAGTGAGACATAACAACCCTGATAAATCGGTCCATAAATTCGCCGAGACCTTCGAACAGTCTAGCCAGGACTGGAACCGTAATGACAGTACCAATAACCCGGGAGATAGAGAATCTCCATCTTGAAAGGCTATCGTCACAGCTGGAAATATCCCACTACCTTGGGAGCTGTACCGAGAATGTGCTCGGATGGACGTATAGATACACGAAAGGTCACAGACTTCAAGAGCATTGCTAGATGACAAAATACGATTCTCGTATTTCTATACCATAACACTACCAATAAATTGTATACCACTTGAATCCCATGTATTTAACCCCATCACCTAAATATACGCCCCCGGAACCTCAAGGTCTCACGAAACGTGTCCCTTAGGTAGCAACGTCCATTGCCCTCCACAAGAGCACTTGCGTTGTTGGCCCAGAACAAATGTAAACCCAGAACGACTCCCAAACACATCCTCCATAACCGCAGTACATCTTGAGCACCGTCTCCACTGCTTATCTGGAGAGGGTCTGATCTGCATGCGCTTGAACACATCCACATACACCATGCCCCGTGCTTTCTTCGCCGCCAAGCTATGTTCGTCATCCTCGACTTCGAGAAGATCGTAATTTGCAAAGAACAACCGCCCTGGATCTACAGTGTTCCGAAACGCGGGCAAGTCTGTGTTGAAGAACTTCTTGATGATCTGGAGAAACGGTGCAGGGGGCGCAGCTGAAAGAAGAATGGAGAGCTCCATCTGGACACGGGCTGCCTTCATCGCCATATCCAGCTGTTTCCCCTGCGTCTGGTTATTTTGGCTTTTGGCGAGAGATGGAAGGAAGATTTGATAGGCTTGTCGAATCTCATTACTCAGACCTGTGAGAAGAGTCTCGACCTCAGACACTTTGACGAGAGCTGAAGAGGTAACTTGTTGCATTGCCTGGTATGCCTGTTGTAGTTGAGGGGCTGCTCGACCGCCGGCCACGCCCTCAACAACAGCCGATTGTTTTCGATAGAACTCTATAGCCCTGCCGCTTAGGGCCTCAAGGTGCGCCAGTCTGCGGCAAATCGCCGAAAGAAACCCTCGACTAGAGGAGCTCATCAAGAAATGGAAAGCGACATTGTTCTTCTCGTGAAGATAAGGAGCAAGTTCATGGAAACGTTCGCGAGTCAAGAGCTCTTGGAAATGATTGTCATTCATAAGCTCGAAAAGACAATCCATGAGCCAAGCAATCAGATCCAGCGCCCACCTTGCACAGCCGACAAGTGTCTCAATGACTTCTGTATTGATGTAAGCAGCTGTAAGGAAACCAAAAGAGTAGGCAGTATGACTTACCAGGATCATCAAGAGGGCTCAGCTTTTCCCTGACAGTAACTGGTGTATTACTGGCAATTGTGATGAGGACGACTACGTTCCGCACATTCAGAAATAGCATCGAGAATTTGCCCTGGAAAGATCGGGGGTGAAAGTCTCCACGGAATCCAAGTGCGTTCATTATACTGAGACAGTACTGCAGAGATCCATTTCTGACAAGTGAGTCATGATGGATCTCTTCAGAGTAATCGATCTGGATCTTGAGAATTCTGATAAGTTCGGTCACCAAATCCTGGACGAATCCTATTCCTTGTGAGCAGGCGAGTCGGAAATATCAAAAGGTGGACGTACTCTTCTTGGTAGTATATGGTCGTACGATAGCAAGTAAATCATCGTAATTGTTTTGGTAGAACATTGAGGGCGCTGCGGTCACGGTCAAGGCTGCAATGCTGCCACAGTATTGAGCTGCATACGGTTAGCAACTCGCCAAATCCTCTCATCGTTTAACATACCATCCTGCATAGAATTTCCAATATCTCCCATAGGGTAATGTAATTTGTTCCACTTGATCTTTCCATCTTCGCCCATTTGCACCATGGAGCAAAAAGTAGGAGAGAATGCAACTTGCTGGCCTACACCTATTGTTAGACAAGAGCAACATTCTGGAATATGGATACTTACATGGCCCTTCATCTGCGAAAGTCCAGCCTATTTGTCGAAGGTTCTGCACCTTGTTCAACTCCTGAGTTGTATACAGTTCCTCGAACGTCAGTCGGTCACGGTATTCAACAGTTCCATCTGCGAAAGCCAGTACTAGAATT